TTCCCCAGCCAGCCAAGCTGGCTGGGGAATTCTGGGAGTTGATGTCCACCCATCTTAAAGTTGTCAAGGTTGAGAAACACTGCTCTAGCCACTCTACCACACTGCCTCTTGGTTGAATTGAGGCCTCTTCAGGACGATTTGGCTTGTAAACTGGTGGCTGTCGACCCTCCTTGTCTTCCCCAAGGGCAAAAGAGGCAGCTGATGTTTTCTGCCACCCTTCGGCCTTCTCCTTACGAGGATTAATTCACCTAACTCACATTATTATATTAGCTTTGTTCTATGTATTTATGCTGTCCTATTTTTCATGACTTTAGCATAGTAACCACAACTTGGACGCAAAAGGAATGGAGGGAATCTCGACACATTCGTTACACAAAAGCTGCATTCCTTGGAGCAGCGCATGTATGCAACGGCATCTTTAACTATCTCAGATCCTTGGGAAGGATTTGATAGCCTGTACCAAATCTGGTACCAAATCTGGTAGATTGTCTGTCAATACAGGTTGTCCTTGACTTACGGCCGCAACTGGGACCAGAAGTTCCGTTGCTAAGCAATGTGGTCATTAAGTGAGTTGCACCTGGTTTTATGACCTTTTTTGCCACAAGCATTAAGTGAATCGCTGCAGTTGTTAAGTGAATCCGGCTTCCCCCATTGATTTTGCTTGTCGGAAGCCAGCTGGGAAGGTCACAAATGGCCATCGCATGACCCTGGGACACTGCAACCATCATAAATACATGCCAGTTGCCAAGTGCCCGGATTTTGATCACATGACCGCAGGGATCCTGCGATGGTCCTAAGTGTGAGGACCAGTCATAAGTCACTTTTTTCAGCACCATTGTAACTTCGAACAGTCGTTAAAAGAATGGTCGTAAGCTGAGGACTACCTGTCATCATCATCATCACACACAGGGACATGGATACGTATCTCTTTTTCTCTTGGAGTGGAGACAGAGGAAGTTTGGGGACACCGGTGTCCATTCCTAACTGTAGTGATGCCAAAAGGATGAAATCACGATCTCATGTTCTGACGCCAGTACAAAGGGATGGCATTTACATTGTGGCACCCTGGTGCACCTTTCTCCCCTGCCCTGAAGATGTGTTACGGAGAGAGGACCACAAATGCCACTTCGGGCTTCTTTGGTTTCGATCTCAGGGACATCTGATTTGCCCAACCCATTTGACACCCTGAACCAGATTTGCCCAATGGCATCCTGTGCCAACTATCCTAGATCGCACGGGAGGACTTGGCAAGTGGCCATCAGGCCCCACAAACGAGCATCTTACTTTTACAAACCGGGACAGGGCTGCTCCACACACCGTCCTTCATGCACTCCATCTGGAACGTTTCGCTCTCCACGTCGTCCTGTAAGGAGGAGAAAGGAATTTTTTAAAAACCCAGAGCCCGGTCAGAGGATGCCGTCACGTCAGGCAATCCCAACAATGCATTGGTTGCATTCGCACAACCCCCTCATCTCAGCCAGACCTGGCATTCGGGCATTTGGGGTTCAGTGTCTTGTGGGAATGCAGCCACGGCCTTAACGCATTGCGCAAACTGGGCCGTTGCATGAAAACATCAAAAGGTTTATGTGCTTGGGAACAGCATGTCATGTGAACATGTTAATTGTGTTTGGTAACTCTGTTTTGCTGTCCTGTATGTATCTAGCCTGAGTGCCCATGGGGAGGGAATCCCAAAAGTCACAATGGCAGCCACCACCCTGTGATTGTGCCACCCACAGAAAAGGGCAGGTCTCAGTGGCATAGTTGTGGCCGCCATCTTGACTTTTTGGACCCCCCTGCAGATCCCCCTGTATCTAGCCCAAACGGTGGGTCGTGCACCTGTCTGCAGACCTCTCCTCCCCATAATTCTGTGCAAAATGCTGGCCTCGGTTAATGAATTATCCGTTATCTTGATTTGCACGTTGCACTGAATTAAACAAACTAATAAACTCACCCAAAGCCTGGATTTCCAAAACACACAAAGCCTAAAAACTAACCAAGGCTAACTAACCACGGATTAATTAACCCAGGAATTCATGGAGCTACTAGGTGTTTGATGTTGAAGTCCACACATCTTAAATACTAGGTGTTGGTTCAATGTGTTGTATGAAGACAACCGGCCTCTTCGTAGCCTTTGATGGAAAGCAAAGTCTTGCAAAGTCCATCTGGCCACAAGGGCGGCAAACTTAGTTTAAAGCTTAACTCCAGCTTTAGCTTTGATTTTAGAAGCAAGGCTAAGTTTTACGTTGCCCCGATCATCACGGTAGCTCAGGGCAATGATTAAGCCAGACTCAGAGACACTTTAATCACCACGTCTTGCAAATTGGAGAAGGAGGAAGGTCCTTGGGGGTCAGGCAGTTTGTGAAGCCTGATGGGTTGACAGGATGGCGAGTTTTATTCTCAGCGGCTGTTTCTTTCCCCCCTTTGCTTTGTATGTTAGAAATTTAAGTCTCGATACCCTTATTTTAGTTTTAAATTGGGTTCACCGCCCGGACACACTGTGGTGAGAGGGTGGCAGCTATGAATTGAAACCCACCAGCCAACCAGTAAAATAAGAAGCACAGCGGGCACTTGCTTCTTTTCAGACAGAGCAATGCTGGCCTTGGCACTGAGATAGACTGCTCCTGCCAGTGGAGGCTCCACAACACCGCAGGTGGAGCCCTGCCGTGCCTGCACCTGTGTCAGGGCTGCTTCTCTCTCCTTCTCCCCCAATCCCCATCTACCTTCACGACGTTGTATCCTGTGTTGCAGCTGATCACCACTTGGTCCTTGAAAGTGTACGTGGCCTGCGAGGGCTCCAGTTTTCCATTGATGGGAGGCTCCAGAAGAGGACAGGGATCCCCTGCGTTTAAGAACGTGGATGAGCAGGTAGGAAAATACGTACCGTCCTGGATTAAGCAACCCCAGAGCCATGCGTCTCCTCGCAGGTTCCTTCTGTACCCGAAAATCCAGTCTGGAGCACTAGGCTAATTTTAAACTTACAGGTGCTTTTTTAATTCTTCCGGCCGTTCCTCTGGCTACCGGGTGGGCTTCGTTTTTACAGCATCGTGTATTTTGACGAGTGGGGTTTCTTGGTTCTGAATTTTTATTTGGGGGTTATTGGGGGGGGAACTAGTCTTGAAAGCAGCATGCAAATTTAATAAAGAGATCAATCAATAAACCAGGAAGCCTCTTTGTAGTAATAATCAGGCTTCCCAGCCAAAATAAATTCAAATAATAATAAAAAGAACACCTGCCTATCCCAGGTGCTGGGGAAGGACTCGATAGGTGGATAAAAATGCCAAATCCGGTCTAAACATCTGGATGACTATGCCACCGACCACCACCACCAGGCAACAATGACTATATGTTTGTTTAGTAAATTAATTAATTAATTAATTTTTTAAAAAAGCTCAGTTGAGCCCATAGCTGTAGTGATTTCATATGGCAACATTTGCTGCTTTTCTGGCCGCTGAAAACAGGAAAAAGGGTGTATCTCCAACTGTCTCATCCTTATTTAGGAATGGGGGAGAAACCCCTTTAATCTACATACAGTATGGATGAGAACTTCCAGGATTTTGCGTTCTCAAACTGAAACTTGAAATGTGCAGGGTTCGAAACCTTGCAATACGGTTTCGTCCACAAAGGAAACCAATATACATTGGGGGAAGGCTTGTTACAAAGGCAGAGAGGAATATTATCAAAATAATGTACAAATATGCATTATATGATCAAGAATCGTTTGCCAGAGTTGGGTACGTTCAGGCAGATTTCACACCAGCGTGCATGCTTTGAGAAATGTGCACGAAAATATATCTAAAATTGAGTGCACATTAACAGCCCCCCACCTTTAAGTATCTAAAACGATTGCATTCTTTATTTCTTTTTTAAAATGATTGTTACTACTGCAGTGATAATCCTTAAAAATAGGTTAGCAAAGCTGGATGGAAAGAAGTCAGGATCGGTTCTTATCAGACTTCCTAGTGGTGACAGTATATTTTCAGCGCCTGGCCTTATTTTTAGGGATGGTGAAGAATGTTTCAGATTCAAAATATTTTAAGTATGAAACATTCTGACCATTCCAGAGGTGTTGTGAAATCAATATTTCATTTTCAAAATTTATTATTTGAATTGAAACAGCTGGGTTCACCGCTGTATTGCCTACCAGGTTTTAATGATATGTGTGTTTTTTTTTTATTTATTGGTTTTGATGTTCTTTTTCTTTCCTTTGTACACCACCTAGAGACACTTTGTCAGAGCTGGTGGGGAGGGGAATATACTGAAAATGCTACCAATACAGATAGTCCTCACTTAACGACCATTTATATTTAGCGACCATTCAAAGTTACAATGGTGCTGAACAAAGGGACTTGCAACCGATCCTCACACTTATAACCATCGCAGCATCCCTGTGGTCACATGATTCCGATCTGGGCGCTTGGCAACCAGCTCACACTTATGACAGTTACAGCGTCCTGGGGTCACGTGATTGCCATTTGCGACCTTCCCAGCTGGCTTTTGGCAAGCAAAATCAATGGGAAATTGCTTGATTCACTTAACAACCCTGTGGTTTGCTTAATGGCTGTGGTGATTTGCTTAATGACTGCTGCAAAAAAGGTTGTAAAATCAGATATGACTTGCTTAAAAACCACTCCACTTAACAACAGATTTTCCGGTCCCTATTGTGGTCGTTAAGCAAAGACTACCTGTAAATAAAAGTCCCACAAACTGAATTCTGATTTGCAGAAATGGATAACTGTGATAAAACTAAGAGGTTGTCCAGTTCCAGTGATGTCTATGGCAAGGGTTTTCAAATATTTTCAGGCCGTGGACCCTGTTAGTTAAAAAGAAAAAGTATAACAACTAATTCTGGAATCCCTGATCAAAAAGCGAATTTTCTAGTGATAGAAAATGGGCTGGGTTCAAGGGTGAACTTATTCATTCATTCATTCATTCATTCATTCATTCATTCATTCATTCATTCATTCATGACTCTCACAGAAACCCAGAAAGTCTTGTGGAACCCAGTCTGAAAAACCCTGGTCTGTAGTGGATTTCCCACCCACTTCAGGGGATCGGATCTGCCTTTTCCCGTTTTCACCAGGACAGAAGAGAAAAACTGTGGGATCCTCAGTGTGAGGTTCAGCCCTCAGCGGTCAGCTGCTGCTTTCAGCAACGGCACAGATAACGGTCCAGAGGCACGTGGGTCCATCTCTTGCCTGGCGGAGCTTTGATTGCATTGTTGTGTCCGCCATCTTGACTTTTAGACCACACCCTGCAGACCCCTGGCCGTGAAGTACAGACACAACGGGGTGTGTGAGAATCAAGGCTGGGCCAAGGTTTCTGAAGAAGGCTTCCTCCGCTGTTTTCCATGGTGGCCCTCTGGGTTCCTTACTCCCTGTACCTCCCAGTTACTAGCACATAAAAAATCAATTCAACCCAAAGAAAACTTGGCCAACCCAATTTCATGTTCATAATAAGCAAAGTCGGGGACCTTAACTCCATTTTCAGAGCTTTGGGTCTCCTTTGGTGCAGGAAATTTGGATTCTTCAAGGGGTGAAACACCAAAACTATCTTGACTCAGCCAATCTTTGGCTGGTGCACACTGTACCGGTCAAACAGGACATTGTGAACAGTCCCACAATGATGCCACTGAGCATGGGTTAGACTAGGTCAGTTTTTTCTCAACCTCAGCAACTTTAAGATGGGTGGACTTCAACTCCCAGTCCACCCATCTCAAAGTTGCTGAGGTTGAGAAACACTGGACTAAATGACCTCAAAGTTACCTTCTTCTTCAAAGGTATCTTCCAACCTTTCTACTCCATGATTCTATTCTAGAAATTGCCATTTGAACTACTGAGTCCAGCGCATTGCAGGCATATTATCCCAGAAACAAATTTACTTGCAAGGTTAGGGAGAGTCACATGGAGGGGGGTTACCTGTGGTTGTGTATGTTAATTTCCACCCTCCGTTCTCTCCCGAATTATCACTGTGGAACAGGAATTGGACGTGGTTGCTCCGGGTTTCAATCCGTGCTGGAGGTCTTTCTCCACAAAAAGGCCCAAGGTCTTTTAATCCAGCTTTGATCTGTCAAGCAATAAAGCCAGGGTTTATGGACGAAGCCCAGCTGAGGTTCCCACAAGGGCGATGTCAGCCAGTTCGCTGGGCAGATGAAAGAGCTAAACTGTGGCTAGTGATTGCAATGGGTCCCCTCTGTCTGAGCAAACAGAGAGGGTTACATTTGGGGTTCCTCCGGAGGAATTTTGTCAATTTCTAAGTTAGGTTCTCAGCAGAGAATCTGGATTTTATCTTCTGGAGGAGGGAGAAGGTAGACGTGGGAGAGAGATCTGTATTATTCCTAAAGCACCAGGTGCTTCCGTTAATTTCTTTGCCATTCCTTGAACTGCAGACAATATCTCCAAACATTTTAATGCCCCTTAAATCATGGCCTTAATTCTTTCTACCATGCTTCACATCATTGTCCCTGCCAGGCAATTGCAATCGCAACGGCTAACCGTTCATGGATTCTTGCCTATATTTTTACTCACACGGTAACCCACCGCCTATTTAGAGATTCAAGGTGCTAAAGAAATGAGCCTTTTGGCTGAAGATCTGTCGTGTTTTCTTCCCCTGGAAAGTTGCTTCAGCACTAATCCAAGGGTTAACGAAAGACTTTTTGGGGAGGTGTTTTTAACTCAGAGCTGCAGTTCACAAAGACGGGTCATTTAATAAAATTTGTGAGTCAGGAAAAGCACCACCAGTATCCGTTTGATTCTGGGCTGTTACCAACTAACGCGGCTCGGTTCTTCTCGGTTCTCCTCCTACAGGGTCTACCTTGGGAGTGACTGAATCACCAGCTCACAGTGTTTCTCAACCTTATGTGTGGACTTCAACTCCCAGAATGCTGGCTGGGGGATTCTGGGAGTTGAAGTCCACCCATCTTAAAGTTGCCAAGTTTGAGAAACACTGCTTAAGATAAAGACCCAATCAATAGTTTGATTTCTTTGCTACCTCAAGTGGCAACCATAAGATACAGAAGTTGTGTTTTCATGACACACTTCATCTGTTGCCTCTTTGCTGAAAAATACACTCAGAAAATTGAGCGGATTTGTGCAACTGGCTAATCCATGAAGAACCAACCCAGGTTAAAATTAACCAAGCTTAGCCAAGTGGGGGCCAGCCATAGCTGGGACTTAACTAGGTTCAGCAAGTTGTGTGAACACAGCCTGTTGATGTTTCTTGGAAGCGTTGCTCTGCTTTGCTATGGAAAATACTGACATGTGACCTGGAATTTGGGAAGTAAGGAGCAGCTCCAACTCTGGAGTGAGTTCTTTTAGTTGATGACTTTCTCCTGATTTCTCAGTTGGGTCCAGCCTGTGTTGAAAGTTGACCAAAGAGAGGTATCTGAAGGAGGGGAGGTGTCAAAAAAGTCAAGATGAAAGCCGTCTTGACTTTCTTGACATCCCCTGCAGACACCTGTAGTGAAACAGCTGTCACAATGTTGAATGGGACACAGCAACTCTTTCTCCCCTCCTGCAGTTATGGGTCAGATGGTTAAAAAGTGCTGACCTTTATGTAATCATAGGGGCAGGTGACCTCCGGATGATCTTCAATGTCGAAATTGTCATCAAACTGGAGCGTGATGAAGAATCCTTCTTCCAACTCAATGCGGTACATACAGTCAGAGCTTTTAGGGTAGGACTTGGGGAAATCTGGGCTGTGGATCACCCCACTCCTCTGGGTGAAGAGGTTGTTGCTGCATTCCACTGCAACAGACCAAGATACAATGGTGGGTCAGGAACAGATTAACCTGCTTAATTTTGGGTTCATGGTATCGACAGATTTGCATCCAAGTGTTGCAACAATCATGCCCATGATCTAAGAAAGGGGACAATGGGTTCCCTCTTTCAGGTGAGGGCACCTTCCAGCATTTCTGTGGATGTTGCTGCAATGGTCTGCGGGAATGACCTTGGGAGACAGGAGGAAGAGCTGCAGACTAGGCAGTGGTCAGATAAGAGGCAGCTGAATGCACAGAAGGAATGGGGGCCTGGCAAACATCTCAGAAGGGGCCCTCCCTAGTTTCTTGCACTGTAAAGGGGAGGGGGGGAAGATGTACCTTTGGACTTACAAGATTGATATCCGCCTTGTGAGGTAGTCCAGACAAGAAGCACACTCAGAAGTACTAACTCTAACTTTATTGTAAAGTTACATTAACAGACTCTTGCAAGTCTGAGAGTACATTTCTCCCCTGCCCCCTTTACAGCTGAAGAAACAAGGGATGGTCCTTTCTGAGATGTTTGCCATGTCCCCATTCCTGCTGCGGGTTCAGCTGCCTCTTATCTGACTATTGCCTACTCTGCAGCTCTTCCTCCTGTCTCCCAAGGTCATTCCCACAGACCATTACAGTTGCACAGTCCCCAAACTGAGCTACATCTGTCTATGGTCCCCCAAAGCCTTTCCTTCTGCCACAGACCACCTCCCAAAGTGGCTTCCGAGCTGTAATTTTGGATACCACCCGATGGGAAAAATTTCCAAGCACAGAGCGGTTGCGTTCATCTAACACATGGAATCTGCTGGCAGAATCAAACCGTTTTCTGTGTTTGCATCCACGCTGGACTATAAGCGAAAGTCACAGGCTGGCTGCCCACCATAGCCTTAACTTCCCAAAACCTATCCAAGTTTAATCCTGACTGAATTTCACAGGGAGTCTCTTGCATCCTGGAACCACCACAGCCCCTGATTGTGCCTGCTGCTTTGGGGTGGTGGGAAAAGGGTGGCTGATTGGCCCTGAGGGCCAATGCTGCAGGAGGCTCGGAGGAACCATCGCTCACCCAGGGTGAAGGTGGCCATGGGCGCTACCTTTGCACGTCCTGTTGTCTGTGTGGAGGATATAGCCAAAGCGGCAGGAACAGTAGTAGCCCCCGATGTAGTTGTGGCAGTGGTGGTCGCAGCCCAGTTCCTCATCGCTCTTCTCCAAGCACTCATCGATATCTGGGAGGGGACACCAAGACCCTTGTCAAAGAACCATCTCCATTGGCAACTCCCAGTTTTGATTTTTGCTAAGCCAAGAGGAGCTCTTGGGGCCTTCTTGAGACTGGTCCAAGCAACTGAGATAAAGCCTGGAGTATAATCTGATGGGGTAGAACAGTGTTTCTCAACCTTAGCAACTTCAAGATGGGTGGACTTCAACTCCCAGAATTCATATGGGAATTGAAGTCCA